ATATATATATATATATATATATATATATATATATATATATAAATTTTGCAATTTGAATATAGTAAGAGAATGACGATAATGAAAGATGAAAGAGCTGATCAAACCTTATCACCGACAGAAAGATCATCATGGAAAAGTTAGTGCGATTGTGACAAAAACTGCGATAATAATAAAATAACTCTTATGAAGAAAAAATCAGAAATAATTTTCAAGCATTAATAATTTCGAGAATAATATATTCAAATTTACTTCTTTATAAAAATTTGGTAGTTTGTTTCTCTAATCCAATTACATTCAACAATGCTGATGGGTTAAAATTATCTCGTAAGGATTACCGCAGAAGAACACATCAAATAATTTGAATGAGATGAAGTTGCTGCGACACAATATTTGATAAAATAGCAAAACACGTATCAGTGATTTTAACATCTTCGAAAATTTCTGACTACATAGTCTAATTGAAGTCATTTTGACTCTTTCCATAACCTTTCACCTCGATCACTTCATTATTTCCCCATTTTCCTTACTCTTTCCATTCATCAACCCCTTCTTTTCTCTCGTCGCTCATTTTTTTTCCCCTACAGTGATTTCATTTGAAATTTAATTCCTTTCAAGGAAAATTTCGTTCTGAATTCAGCTAATTCAGGCCAAGAGATCAGGCAAGAATAAATGAAATTTTCGGATTCATAATTTTCGTCCAATGGAATGAGAGCAAAGGCAATTATTAAAATTCAATTATACCAATATTGCTACATTATGTTTGTTTCATATAAAAATTGATAGTAAAAAAATCATTGCATAAAATGTATTTTAGCATTACTTTGCTGTAAATGCAATTTATTCCATTTACTAAAAGAGGAAAACAATTATTTTAATTCGAATTTCATGTTAAAGTGTGCAATATATTGTGATCAATTTTATTAATATTTGACATTGCTGTGACATTTTTTTCCGTATTTTTTTTTCTTGCTCCCCATTTCAGACAAATATGCAAAAAACATCAATGTTTTTATTATCACCAAAAACTTTAATTTCTTCCACAAATTAATAATTGACTGAAAAAGAGGAATAAATGTCTGATAATTTGTTATAGTGCAAAAATATTTTACTTTAATGGTCAGAAATAATAAAAGAGTAAGAAGATTTGAAAAATGAAACTTCCAAAATTTTCCAAAATTATAGTTTTAATAATAAGTTTCGAAAAAACAAATTAAAATAAAATTTTTAAAAGCTAAATTCGATTCATTAAACATAGAACTTTGTTTCATGCTGCAATAACATGAAACAGCACTTATATAAGTAAACACACACATACATACACATACACATACACATACACACACGCATACATATACACACACATACACACATACACACATATATGCATACAAACATACACATATACAACAAATACATACACACATAAACATACGCATCCATCCATTTGGCAGTAATGCAGGATGGATACGATTGGAAAGACAGATGTGAATTTCACATGGACAGAAGGAGAGATGATAGTACGCTAAAGCGTAATTTGTATTCAAAAAAAAAAAAAATAGCATTTGCGGAGATAAGCAATAAGTGTTTCTGATAGTAACACTGTTTCCCCTCTTTCCTTCTCTCTCTGTTGTGTTGTGTTGTATTTCTACAGATGATTGGTTTGAAATGCTTTCAAGAGAAAAGTTTAATGATCACAGATTGTGATACTATATGACTATGATAACTAGCATCATTGGTGATGTATGAGAGAGATCAAAACCAATTTCGAATAATTTTACAATTATTTTTTTCGTTGAACTTTACACTTTTATTATTCATCCCACCATTATGTCTCGTGCAATAATGATCAAATTGTTATCTGATCTGAAGACCTGATGATGATGATGTTGATAA